GGCACATATTCTAGGCACATAGAACCCATTGGTACAAGAAGCTCTGCAAAGTGAATAAAAACTAAGGAAGATACGATATAAAGATCACAAAAATGTAAACTAAGAAACCCAGGAATCCTACTGAAGATATTTCATCATTTTGATAGTAATAGGGATAAAGTTTTGAAGTTGTTCGTCTTTACACACACATATATTTTTTGCATATTCTCTCTACATGCATATAAGACAACAAATGACAGTATAAGAATACTCCGTTCTTTGCCATCTTTGTCTCTTTGCTCCCTCTATTTTGCATTGTGTTTAAGACTACATGTGCACCCTTCCACATGCCTTAATATGCTTCAGATCACCACCTCACATAGCTGTTCTCCTTCTTGACATAATCATTTATTGGATAGGAAATGCTAAATGGTATCTGATTATGATTATCATTTAATGATTCTATAATTCCAAGATCTCTGATTTTTAAAGATTAACTTTCTTATTTGAAGTGGAGCTAGAGTTAAGACTATGTGGTCCCCTTCCTTTGTATTCTATCATCATAAAGAATTTAGGTTCCTTTACAGTTGTATGTAATTCTGAAACACCAGGGTTTTTAGTGTGAATATTAAACAACCCGTCTCCTTGTGAATTATTTCACATGCTTAGTTTACGTGATTTCTTGCTTGTTAAAGTAACTTACTACTCTGTAGTGAGCCAGACAATGTGCTGAATACTGTAGCTAACACTCAGTCGTGGGGGCTGTGGTGTTGCCCTGCTGTGGGATGTGTGGCAGCACAGGAAAACAGCAGCAAGCACTAAAGCATGGCCACTGGGCTTCCTCCACTCCTGGAGGTTCAGTGCAGCGTGCGAAGCCACTGTACTTCCTATTCTGGGCGTTTCCACTCATGTGATGGAACTTCTGCAGGCTAACGTATAGATGCAGCTACAGCTGGGATTTCTTATTGGTGTCACAGAATTTTGTGTAGCATACATTTTTGAGTATCTGTTGTATGCACGTATAGTAATTCCTATGCCTGTGGAGATACATACATAGATTCAGATGACACAAAGTCAGCCCTTGGTTTGTCATATTACTCTGCTATAAGTCATCTGTATTCATGCAGAGCATTGATGTCTGTCATGTTCTTCAGTGAAATCAAACTAGATTATGTTGGGGGATGGGGTCCGAAAGACAATATGTACATTGCATATTGATTTCATGGTAGCCCTTGTCCATTTGTCAGTTTTGAATGTTGATGAGATTCCTTCTGGATTTCAGAAATCATTTTCCGAGCACACAGTCTTCATAGCATTGAGATGATAACACTTTGGCTAGTACTATGCATTAAACTAGGTTGATCATGGGAGCCTGTAACAAAAAGTGTCGGCCTTTCTTCTGATAATTTCTACTTGTGTTAATTGTCATATTGTTCTTTTTAAAAATAAATTATTAATAAAATATTGGAAAATTTACAAATTCCTTCCATCCTTAAACTGGGAAAGAAGTACCATGATGTGATGTTTTAGCAGATGCAGATTACCAAGACAAAAATATATCAGGGACCTATTAAGTGATTAGGTCAACTTAAGATGCAATACGTGATTGTATGGTAGAAAGAGGGGAGAAGGCAGAGATAAAGCAGAGATGAAGCAGAGCTACTTGTTAATTTTACCAAGTAATGTACAGGTTATTATATTTTGCACTTATAATGAATACAGAGGAAATTTGTGTTAAATACAGTAAGCACAGAGATCTTGAACAAGACGTCTGTGGAAAACTTAAACTGTCCTTGTAGGCCTGGTGCCTGGAGATGCTGAACAGAGGATAGTCTCTCCTATTGCTATCTAACTTAGTTCATTTATAACCCTTATATCCTATAAGAAATTTAACTCTGTGTTCTCTGACCTGGGGAAAGAAACCACAAAACCAGTACCAACGAAAAGGTGTTTACTTTAGTGTAAACATGTTTTTATTTATCATGAAAATCATATATGGTATTTGGTAATGAGATAAAAGATATATAAAGGTATGTTCATAGTAGTAAATCTGGTGGTTTCAGTCTGATCATCCACTGCTTCTGATATTGATGGTGATCAGAAAATACTGCTCCAAGCTTCTTTTATCCTTCCAGTTCAGATGATCTCAGTGCACTGTTTGATCTACAGCTCTCTATTCTACAAAGAGCGGTTGACTCAGGAAAACAGGATGTCTTAGGGCTGGCCTTAGGCACTAGAAAGTGGGCAGCTACTTGAGTGCCTGGGGGCCAAAAAGGGCCTATAGTACCAATGCTTGTGGAAACATTGAGCAATAATTAATGTAAAAATTCTTACCCTGAAGACACCATTCACTATTGCTAGTGAGAAAGGAGTTAGAACGCACTGGGGACTGAGGTGGGAGGGATGAAAAAGACACTTGTTTTAACTAACCACAGCCTTCTATAAACCCCTTTGTCTCAAAAAATAGCATGTTGTTTTCCTAAGGATTTTGTCCTTATCCTCAGGTGAGGATTTGATTGTGACTACCGTGCTGAGAAGATCTGAGATGTCTTTCAAGCTTAGAAATCTACATGAGAAATTTTAAAGCACTCTAAATGTAGCTCTCAGAATTTGCATCTGCATGAGTAAGAGATGGTTAATTTTTTTGCAGGTTGTTTTATGTTTGTTTTTCTTTTAGGGGGGTGGCTGCATACTTTTTTATTTTCAAATGCAGGTAGATTGCCTTTCGCTTCTATTTTTTAATGTGGATAATACGGCTCTAAAAACAATTCCTTAAAACAAAATCTGTGTCTCCAAGTACAGTATATGTAACAATAGCAATGTTTATGCTGCAAGAGACTACAAAATTCTTCTGAATCATTTCTAGAAATTAGGCTGGGCAATAATGGAACATATGAAATGTCAAGGTGACAGAATGGGGCTGTGCAAAGAATGCACTCCCTCAAATAAAAAAAGCCTTGCAGACAGCTGATCAAAACAATAAAGCATATGAAATTGTCCAGGAGACTGCCAGGACACCTGAGATATGCACAGAGGAAGGATGACTTAACAGTAAAATAAATACAACTCTCTTTTACTTTAGAAGTTTTGACAGTCTGTGTTATAGGGGATGTCAAAGAGTCTAGGGGGAAATGGTCAACTTCAGGAAGGTCACAGAGTTAAAGTGCCTACCATGCCTATTCAGCACAGTGGCATTTATCAAAGCACATGGCGTTCTCCTACAGCAAGCAAAGCCTTCATGGTCATCAGGAGAAATCTGTTTTTTTTTTTTGGTTTCCTGCAGGCTCTCGCTTTTTGGTGCCAGGAAGGGCATCTGCAGAAGCTGGCTAATGAAGTTGGCAAACCATGGGAAGTGCCAAAGAGAGTGATTTATCTCCTTCTAACCCATTTACAATAGATCTGTGCCCAAATGTTTGTAGTAAAAAGGTCAGTATAATGAAATGTTGACATTTTTTTTAATAGCTTTTGTTAAAAGAAGAAAAATTGCAGATCCAAACTGAGACATGTAAGAATCAAGAATGCAAAACCACAGTGAATCATACCTTTTTCTTCGTCAAAGCACTAGTCAATTTTTTTGAAAATCCAAACATCTTTGGCTGCAGTTTAGCTTCAGGGTTTTTTTTCCTTATAGAACATAATGGCAATAGTATGAAATATTTTCTACTTTTTTCCCTATTATTAGTTTTACTTTAAAGTAATAGCCAACACAACAACATGATAGAAAGTGTGGTTTAATTTGGGATAGTTTGACTTCTTATTTGTAAGCAGCTTTGCAGGAATGCTCAATACGTGTGCTATGGTTATTTAATAATTTATCACTTCGCAGGATTTAGCTTTATGCATTAGGAATAAATCTATGACAAAAGTTTGAAAATAAGAGCTTTTATTACATTAACAGGATGGAAGCTAACATACACAAGCTTTCAGGGTCTAATTATATTACCCCTCCTCTGATTTTCACCAGATGTTGAATTTGAGACTACCAGTAAAGTGAGTGGGATATTCTATAGACGCCAGGAGAGAATTTGTAAGATCTTAAACTTGTGCAAAGAAGTCTGTAAATCACCACAAACAGTGAGAATAATAAACCAAATAATATTTTCTCGAGGACATTTCCTGTCGTATGGATTGTGAGCCCAGGGGGCTTCAGCCATACAAACATTAGTGTATTAAAATTCTGCTTTTCACCCAGATAAAATCCATATACCTGTGGAGCAGTTGCTGTTTCTGAACAGTTAGTGAAGGTGCTGTCATGTTTTCCTTTCCTTCCGCCCAAGCCCTGTGTAAGCAAACAAACAATCTCTGAGGAATGTGGATTTATTCTGTGGCTCTCCACAGAGAGAAAATATTGAAATACGTCTTAAAGGGTCAAAAAGGTTGGCAATTTCTGTTTCACTAGCAATTTTTGTTATGTTAGGAAGATACTTCTTGAAAAGAAATAGTTACTCCTCTGTTCATCTGTTTTCATGACAGAGAAGGGTACTGAAATGTAAATGCAAAGCTGTAATATCAGAAGGACAAAAATAATTTGAATTGTACAGACAGACAAGCTGCATTTTTTGCTGTTTCATAAAAACAAAACTGTACATGCTGAGAGGAATGTGAACTTCTGGTTTCCTCTCTACAATCTAAAAGTGTGAAAAGGCAATATGAAACTGACAGTAAATTCATGTTGTACTAGCAACAGAAACTGTTCACTAGAACTTGTATGGGTTACCTTTCAAATCACAAATGAGGAAAAATATACTGTGATTTTTGCCTGTAAGCTCCAAAACAATCATCAGACAAGGAGAGAAAGCACAGCTCAGCATCTGGCTCATCATACAACTCAATGGCTGTTTTAGGAACATCATCCAATAATTTGATTTCACTCATCCTACATTTTTTTTTATATTGACAGTAATTTTGCTAGTATTCTGCTTATAATGTGTGTAATTCAAGATAAAGTTACTATCTATAATTGAAAAGGACTCATTCTTCATAATGCAATGTATGGAATAATAGAAAAAGGAAGAAATTACCTAAAAGAAAAATAGAAGAACTTCAGTTAGGTAAACTTACATCAGGTGTTTGAATAACATCTGTCAAAAGCAAATTAAAATATTAAGAAAGATAAAAACAAAGGTCTTGGTAAAAGTTTTGAGGTTTGTAAAGCTGTGTCATACATTACAAAGAATTGCAATTCGTGCTGCAAAATTCATGGTAGAGATCGCGTATCTACCACAAAGTAAGACAACTATCTATCTACGATAATATCTAGGATTATTACCAGAGCAAGAAAAAGCGCGTACTTCAATAGTTCATTATCAAAAGTATTATGATCAACGGAGGAAGTCAGGAGATGGCATACTCTAAAAAAATGTTCTACAGCTACTGGATGTGTTGCCTCAAAAGAAGCATCAGCTCTGCTGTCCGTGTGCTTCACAGGTGGTTTACACATGTGTGAGAGTTGATCTATTTGGGATGTCTGTGCATGTGCAGAAATAATTCTTCATAGTCTGTGTAGGTGTGTGGTACTTCCAAGAAACTTTGAATCTATTTAGGTTATAATACCAACCATCTGTTTACCAGATACAGGTCCAATTTATAAGTCCTCCCAGCAGACCTACAGATTTCCAAGCTCACTTCACTTGTACTAGCTTCTGCAAGTACAAATATTTCCAGTTGGAAAAAAGAAAGCAGAAGAAAACAATCCTTTACAAAAAGTATATGTCTACATGAGGAGTATGAGAAATAGAGACTATTTCTTCCTATTTCATTATATCAGATTAAGCTGGACCCCTAAAGTGATCTTTCTTTTTGTCTCTAATACTCTCACAGTAAATAGTAAAGTAGGTATCTTGTCTTTGAATGGCAAAAGTTAATTCCGTTTGCATGCTTAGCATAGTTTACACTACACTATGAATTGTTTCTGCAGCTTTTCCAAAGATACTGATGCAAAAACATGTGTACACAGTTTTTACTGACAAAGGGTGTATATGGCAAATATATTGTTAAGGAAAAAATAGGAATTACTTATCTAAGTCACTTTAGTTTAAAATGACATGTTTGTTTCTTATTGAAATGTTCTTGAATACATATTTCTGATCAGCAATACACCTTCAGAAAACAGCAGTCATCTTCAACTCATAATGTTTTACCTTATCCCATTGAGAAAACTCAGAAACCATTCAAGGCCATCAAATTTATAGGAAACACAAAAACTTACACTTAGATGTGAGTGTTGCTCTGGAGACTGTTTTCTGTTCATCTAGAATTCTTTCTGATAGCTGGCATTTCATTTAAGGTCAACTTTTTCATAAGTGGCCGCAACTTGTACAGTTTTCATTTTGTGGACTCCTTATTTAGGCCCAAGTCTGAAATTTCAGGAGGGTCTGAGTGACTGCAGCAGCTGATGTCAGTAGTACAGTGCTCTGATGGTGTAAGGTAGTATATAATATATGAAGTGCCCAAAGGCTAACCTTTGTGCTATGTCCAAATACACCACTAACAGCTGTGTAAATGCAGCAGTATAATTATAGATGTGTCTATACTCATGCTGAAAGCTGCTCCTGTACACCCCAGAATATCATTCAGCAATATTTCATGGACGGTAGGCAAACCAGTGAAGACTATTTCACAAAAAGACTTAAGGCAAAGCACTATGTATATGATATGTAAGCACTCTATGATATGCATAGATCCCAGCTGTAGGTTTCCTGGATTGGGCAGTGTGCCAATGTCATAGTTGAGCCTGTGATTGCTCCAAGGTTAAACAATGTAGGTATAGTTTGCATGTACAACAGGAAGCATGCCAGGAGCTGTGAAGGTAAATTAATTAATACTTCTTATATTTTCTCTAATTAATAATACCTGCACTCATGTACTTTATTGAGGGATTTTATAGAAAAACTATTTAGGAAACTGATATGACACAGTACGGTTATAAATATGCCAAGGGCCATACAGAATGAAGGTGATAAATCATTGCAATAAGAGTTCATTAAGTGAACACTGAATACTGAATGAGGCAAGGAAAAATATTATGTAATTATGAAATTAAAGATTGTATTGTTGTGTATTTACACATGGACTCTATTAATGTTTCTGCAACAACTGCCAGCTATTGTCCACCATGACCACATCTAAAAGGGTTATTTTCAGTTAATTTGGAGGGTGAAACTATACTCTGCAATGTACTTGGAAAATTATTTTTTACAAATAAATACAAATGTAATCAGGATACAAAAATCCTCCTGCACTCTTCCCATTTTATGATAGCATATTCTTTGTGGTTTTAAAGATCAAGTGCCCACCAGTGACACTGGGAGAAATCCTGGAGGTGCCTATAAGATTGGAGTGTTAGAGATCACTGAATACTTAGGCAAGCTAAATAAGACTTTTGATTTCCCTCTGTCTTTACAAGTTTGCTCTATAGTGCAAAGGAAAAGTTTGGTAACTTTAGAACCTGGCCCAGCTCTAAAACTCTCCATAAATTTTTACTACATCCAAGCTTCATGTCCAGAACTACCATATCACCTTTTCAGGTTGTTTGGCCTTTGTCATCTCCTCTCTGCTAACACTGTGACAAGCAGGTCAACTCCACATTAGAATTTCTTGTGCAGACTGAGTTAATTCTAGATAGTTCCCTGAACCAAAAATTTAAGGTCCACCAGTCAATTAAATCAAGGGTTGGATTGAGAAGGATTGTTCTCTGTTCACTATGACAGATGTCCTTGTTTTAAGAGTGGCAGTAAGTAGTACAAATTGCCTTCAACCTCCATCCTCTGTCAAACTGATTTTGCAGATTTTTTGTCCTTTAGTAAGATGCTTTCCCTCTGAAAACCAGATCATACTCTAACCAGATAGTGATATTTGATTGAACTATAAATCTATTAAAGTAAGTGTCACTCAGGATTATCTGGAGGTTAATTAGAGAAGTACATCCAGAGATTTTTTTGCTGTTGTTCATAATGAAAGAAACTTTCCTAAGGGGTTAAGTCCATTAGATTCAAGATCACATTTCCAGTCTGCCCTGGAAATAACCCTGACTTTTCACACTCTGAGGTAAGTATTTTTTTTATTCAGGAATGTAAACAAATAAATGAGGTTATAAATAATAACTTGCTGCCTGACTGATCCAGATTTTCATTTGTATGGTTTGGTACAGCCAATTTCAGAAAAATTTGATTTATACAGTCACTGGCGAGTCATGGTTTTATTTGTTGTGACTGATAAAGATACTGAGCTAAAAGTAAATATGCATTGGACATATTTTATTGATTGGAGAGATCATTTGTGTTTTGGAAAAATTTCAACAAACAGCATTTCACTTGTATGAACTAGAGAAGAGAAATTTGCTTTTCCCGCTTTTCTGTCAACTAGTATCAATTGCTAAAAACAAATTTTGTTATTTCAGTTACACTGATGTAAATTTAAGCTGAAGTCAGACCAGTTTCTGTAAATTTTTACCAAGTAACCAGGAGACATTTTTTTTCAGATAGATGGCACAGATGCAAAACTCGTAGTATATCAAAATGCAATATCAGTACTACTATTACTCCAGTTGCTTCTGAACATTGCAGGAGCTGCAACTTTCAATTCAGTATTGCTTTGTCATTCATTGGAATACTTACAGGCCTTGTTCCTGCCACTGATTTTGTGATAAAGTTCTCCTTTTAGACCCTATTATATTCTTGAGAGGAAGTCCATATCAAAAGTGTATGCCTGAAATGGCACATTTGTATATTCAGATCTTTTAATATACTCACTAAGACCATCAGTTCACTGATGAAGATGAGGAGATAAAGGTGACATGGTACTTCCACTGCCAAAAAGTTCAAACTTATCTTTCTACAAACTTTTTTCAAAATAAAATATCTCATGTTACTGCCAGCATAAAGACACTTTAAGTAATATTTTAAAAGTCTGCAAGTTTTTCTTTGCTGCAACAACGTATATTTCTGAAAATCAAACTTAATAACTCAGCAGGTTTTTTTGCCATTTTTTGCTTTTGAGAAACAGGGTCTTGATCCAGTTATTTTAGCAGTTTCTAGAAATGAACATCCAGAAAACTAAAGTGTGCTTACATTGTGCAAAACATCTGCACACATGAAGTTAATGCAAACTGGAAAGCAAGATGTTAAGAAACACATTCCACTTGTAATGCCAGTATTAGCTATGACGATTTCCTTCAGGATGTCCTAAACAATTGCTAGCTCAGTCAAATATACACAATCCCCAATAATATTTTGTAAGAAAGTTCTACATTCAGATACATACTTTGCTGCTTATTTGAGGTGCATAACTACTGTCAATATGTTTAAATGAATGATTTTGAGTTATTCTCACGGAAAAGAGCTACACTGATTTAAGCAGTTCTCCTCTCCAGAAGTCTTTAGTGAGATCTGAAAGCCTTCTGTAAATTGCACGAACATCTCTTGGGTCATGCTTTATACTTCTGGCATATGCTCAAGCAATTTAATTGCTTAAAGCAGGAAATATAAGAAATTGCACTTGTTCTCTTTGTATGCTCTCTCTAAGTAGACTACAACTTTGAAGAGATTTTGTTATTCAGAAAGAATCTACTAAAATTTCATGCAGCTATGTTTCATTGTTATGCTATATTTTAGAATCATAGAATCATAGAATAGTTAGGGTCAGAAAGGACCTTAAGATCATCTAATACCAACGCCCCTGCTGTGGGCAGGGACACCTCACACTAAACCGTTTCATCCAAGGCTCTGTCCAACCTGGGCTTAAACACCACCAGGGACAGAGCATTCACAACCTACCTGGGCAACCCATTCCAATGCCTCGCCACCCTTATAGTAAAGAACTTCTTCCTTATATCCAATCTAAACTTCCCTGTTTTAACCCGTTACCCCTTGTCCTATCACTACAGTCCCTAATGAAGAGTCCTTTCACAGCATTCTTATAGGCCTCCTTCAGATACTGGGAGGCTGCTATGAGGTCTCCATGCTGTCTTCTCTTCTCCAGACTTAACAGCCCCAGTTTTCTCAGCCTGTCTTCATAAGGGAGGTGCTCCAGTCCCCTGATCATCTTTGTGGTCCTTCTCTGGACTTGTTCCAACAGTTCCGTGTCCTTTTTATGTTGAGGACACCAGAACGGCACACAATACTCCAGGTGAGGTCTCACAAGAGCAGAGTAGAGGGGCAGGATCACCTCCTTTGACCTGCTGGTCATGCTCCTTTTGATGCAGCCCAGGATCCGGTTGGCTTTCTGGGCTGCAAGCTCACACTGCTGGCTCATGTTCATTTTCTCATCAACCAACACCCCAAGTCCTTCTCCACA